GAATATTTTACTCTTTTTATCATCGCGACTTAAGTATTTAAAGGTATATAAATAGTTTGATGTTAGGGTTAGTTTTTGATGATCTCCGGTTGAACACACATTACTTGTCCTTATTTAAGAAATAATGCTTCCTTTTTGTTAACTTATGGGGGTGTAAAAGCGTTGTCAGAAGTACATTTTGTATGAAACGCGGAAGCGCTTCATTCTAAAAATGTAAGCACGGTCAACGCTTTTACAACCCTAGGAAATGACCAAAAGAACCATTCAATACTTATAATTACATTTTTTCGCTATGATCATGAAAACACAATTACTATTAAGTTTTTCTTTTATTTACCTGTGCATTTTATTATGGAAACGTGTGTCATCATGTATGTTACAATTCATGCAATTCATTTTGGAATGAAGAATGACGCGAGATTGCTGTTAGCCAATCAAAATAATGTATAATAATGAAACACAAGTCTAATGTAATTACTGTACATTATTGCTGGTTGAAACATACGCTGCTGAAAAACGCGTATTTAGGAACCATTGGATCAAGTGTTGTTTTTTTTTCAAAAATGTCTTAATTTATACTGCTAGTTCGAAAAAAAATAGTTTAACTTTGACAAATATGGATATGCTTTTTATCAATAACAGTAACTCTCCGGTAATGATATACTAGTATTTTGGGCGATTTCTATTTTATTTGTCTTCTTAATGGTGGATATATGTCAGCTTCATAAAAGATTGTTTGGAATATTGGCAATCAAGAGCTTACCTATGGTATAGATAATCCTGTAACATTTGATGTCCTATATATTGCATTTATGTTTCGTAAGCTGGTTTTGTTGGAGTTGTTCCTTCGTGACTTATTTCTTGTCTTATGTGAAAACACTTAAATATTTATATCTTTTTTGATTGAAGGATTACATCATGAAATCTGAATTTATATGTTTACATGCATGAATTGGGCTTATGTATTTACACCATTGTCCCAGATTAGAGGAGGGTTGAGAACTCACATATATCTTTGTATATGTTTAAACCCGCTACATTATTTATGTGCCTGTCCTAATTCAAGAGCATGCAGTGCAATGATTGTCGTTGGTTCATGTCTGTCATGTTTGTTTTTCGTAACTTGTTTTGTTTATAATAGTGATGTTGATTTTTTTAATTGGATCTTTTCATATTTTTGCATGTTCGGACCTCTTATAGTCGACTATACGATACGGAATATTTGCAATGTTGAAGGCCGTACGACTATGATTGCTTCATCCACTTCATTTTGATAGTTGTTTGATAGGCAATCATACAACATCTCCTTATCTTTTTATATTTAACATGTTTAAAAAGTCATATTACAAACAATGTTGAATTAATTGAGATTGTATTGACATTTGTACTCGTGCAATTCTCGTCTTGAACAATATCTAATATAGAAATAAATGCAAGTACTTTTCCGCGGAAATTGTGTTCTTTGGTTCGCAAAATGATTTTTTTTAGGGAATAGTGTGATCCTTGATTCGCAAAGATCCACTTTTTTCTGATATACTTGTGACCATAGAATCGTAAAATAAACTTTTTTCTAATACAATTATGACCTTTAATTCGGGGTAATTCCATCTTCGTCGGAAGAGTTTGTTTTCGTTAATTTATAATTTGATTTTCCATTTTTAGTGTGTTATGTAAATCTATAACTTGGTTTTCTTTTACTAGGCATACAAATTGTTGAAACACTGTAAGATACCAAAACGAAAAGTTTCAATGTATCGAACATGTTGAAGTTGGTGCTACTTCTAGGTGCAGTAATTGTAGCAGAAACTGACGCAGGTATAGTTACAAACACATCCAGCAATTAAATGAACTTGATATCTTAATTTAGAAAATATATTGAATCTTGATAATGAAGGTGATAAATAAAAACCGGAGAAACACATGCACTGACAGAAATAATCACAAAAGTATCACAAAAATACCAAACTCAAGGTAAATTCAAAAAGGAGAAGTCATAAAAACTACATGATGAGACGCTATCAAATATCGGAACGAGAGAAAACAACTGTTATAATCCTGATTCGGTACATTTTTCGAAAAAAAAAAAGATATAAATACATAAATAATAGTTACTCTATAATGATAAATGATCTCCCTATAGTTTAAGGAGTTTATGGTTATTCATATATATATTTTTTTTTTTTACATTTGTTCTCCTCTCTTATCATGCTTAAGTATAAAAACCATTGTTCTTATGTTTTAGGTACCAGTGGTATTTTGAAATGATTTTTATATTATTAGAAAGTATTGTGTATTCGGCAAGAAACTGTTGCAGGCCTCTGAAAAAATCGCCTGTTCCAAGTTTCCTAGCCTAAAACAAAAATGTTTATATTGTCTGATAATGACCTAACATTATATGCTCGTATATATGATAGGTAAAAATACGATGATGTTCTAACTACAAAATGGTACAAATCATTAATAATGAAATCAATTGATCTTATTTATCCGACAATAAATTTATCAAAAGTTGAAATTGTCCACCAGTGTATATATTTTGTTTTGATTTGGCCCTACTAAATCTAAAGTTAAATTAAACTTTGGAATTACAAGGGTTTATTTGAAATTAATTTGAAACTCAAATACAATTTTTAAATAAATGATAGAAAATACAATTCTATAGTACGTTCATGTGAAATTATCACTTATTTCCATTTCGGCAATATGCGGAAGTAGCAAATATGATTCACGTTTTCAAACCTGTTGCCAGAATTCGTAAAGTGGGCCGCACATATCATGCTTTAAAAGTACGGCGTATGACAGTCGATTTAACACTTGTTGTAAAGGAGTGTTGAATTCTTTTAGTGGACTGCACATATCATTCTTAGGGAGTACGGCGAATGACAGTCGTTTTAACACTTGTTGCAAGGGATTTTTTAATTTTTTTTTAGTGGGTGGTACATGTCATGCTGTGGAACTACGGCTTATAATTCTCGCTTCAGTGGTTGTTGTAATAGACACGTTTGTTAAGTTGATCATTATTCACAATTTTATTGTTTATATTTTCATTGCCGCTTTCAAATATACCACAACTACTAAAATTTGATGTATAATTTCGTAAGCTCATATCTACCAGATGAAAATAATCTTTTTCTTATAAAAAGACACTTATTATATTTCTTTATTTTCTTTTTATAGAATTCAGATGTAATTTTCTACTAAACTGTGCTCTTCCTAACATTATTGTTTTCCTCCTTCAGTTACAAGGATTGAAATTATGACAGGATATGCTATTTCTTGTTCCATGTACATTTTTGAATTGCTGTAACTGTGTGTATTAAAACTATGAAGAAAATCTGTATCTGACATCCATATATTATTTCAAACACAAGATGGCGCATGAAATATCAACTGATGATATAGTTTAGCAATTGGTTGCTTGATTATTTATTGATATTTTTGACGATAACTAGGTTTCATAACCCATAAGATAGATTGTCCAAATGTATTCAATATAAACTCATCATAGATACAAGGATCACCGGTAAACAGGATAGCACATCCAAACTTCCATTTGAAGGAAGTATGATACACAAAGGATTGAAACTTATCTCGCATAATGCCACTCAAGGATCCATGCAAGTAGTTTCGAGCATACTTTTCAGCATAAGTCTAGGTAGCAGGATATTCTCCGCAAACGAATCATCTTATTTTACATCTTCATTCGAAAAAGATATAATATACGTATGTACAAATGTATGTTCCCTCGACAACAAAACAAACGCCCCGTCAGCATTGTTATAATTTTAATTAGAAGAAGGTCAAGCGACCATATTATATCAAATATATAAGCTTTTGAATAACGTAACGTTAGAAAAAAGTAAAATTAGAAAATACAAAAAAAAAAAACTCCAAGGACAATTCAAACCGGAAAATCCATTATCAATAGGCAAAATCAAAAGTTCGATCACATCACATCAAACGAATGGAAAACAACTGTCACAAAAATTACAGGTGTTATCATGCATTGGGGCATTGTCTGTGACTATCTATCACAGTTATTCTAACAAAAGAAAACAAGAGGAAACGATGGTTAAACTGGAACAAAAATTGATGGCTGTATTAAAAAGACTGCAAACGATAACATTGAATGAGTTTATAAGCAACGAGAAGAAACTTGTGTATGAACAAGCGGAGACTATAGAAAATGAGATGGCGACGTTTGCTGAATTAATACAAAAAGAAAAGCAAACATTAACTGAATTGGTAGGACAAAGAAATAATATCTTAACTGAACATTCCGAAACGATATCAATGGAGAAGAGGGCGGTTCTGCACTTCATCACACGAGATAGGAACACACTAGACGAGCTAGCTGTATGGATGAAAAAGGAGGGGAAAACATCAACCGAAGTTATAAGAAACGATACTGAAACGTATTTGACCAATCTGCAAAGATGAACAAAGATAAGGAAAACTTTTAATGAATGTATAGTAAAAGAGAAGAACACGTTAACCAAATTTGTAGAAAAAGAGAAAGTAACGCTAACCAAATTGTTAGAAAAAGAGAAGGTAACGCTTACCGAATTGATAGAAAAAGACAAGTCAAAGCTAACTGAATTGACCAGAGAAGGGGAGATACATTCAACTGAACAAACGCTGAATGCACAGGCTGCATGGATAGAGGAAATGAAGGAGACGTTTACAGAATCGATAAGAAAAGGGAAGGAAACTTTATTTGACCAATCTGTACATACGAAAAAAGAGTTAAATACATTAAATGAAGAGGCAGCCTAGATAAAAAAAGAAAACGTAACTTTAACTGATTTCATAGAGAAAGAAAAGGACAAGCTGATCAAATATGCTGAAAGGATAGAACGAGTGAAGGATGACTGGGTTAAATCAGTCAAACAAGCGAAGGAAAAATTGTCTGAAAACGCTGTTAAGATGGAAAAAGAGACCGAAATCTTAATCAATCAAACTCTAAGGATACAAAAGTGAAGGATAGTTGGGTTGAATTGGTAATAAAAAAGGAAAACAAGTTAAATGAAGAAACTACACAGATAGAAAAAGAGATAAAAACGTTATTTGCAAAATCAAAAAGGACAGACCATATTGACTGACAGATTTGCATGAATTGATATGAAGAGAGAAGACCAGATACATGTATACCCAACAAGCTAAACACATTTCAATTGATATCATTCCCATTTGAGTTTAGGTCGTTAGTTTCCTCATTCTTTAATATATAGGGGTAACATTTTCATTTTTCAATGTCTGTGTTGTTTCTATTGAAAATTCATTGTCCTGAAAAACGTTAAAACCTGTTAATTTCTCACTCGGTCAAGTTCTACAAATAGAAAATTTACGTGATAGATAGTTTATGAATTAGCTGATGCCTTATGGGTAGACTAGAGTGAATTGCAAATTTTGAATGTTTCTGACTACTTTTTTGATATAAAAATAAAGTTGAACCTTGATAAATCTACGTCGAAAGAACCCGACAATACTATCGACCTACCCGAGATGGCAATCTATATCATGTTTACCCTCATTCCAATGTTGGAATATGGATTTGTTAACCTGGAACGTTAATGTTGAAGATACATGTTAAATTCCATCTTATGCAAATTGATAGCACTCCAAATAACAATAATCTTAATTTCATAAAATCTAACCAATTAACCACAGTACACAAGATCAGGAAAAAGCAAAATAGGAATAAATATCGGAACAAAATTAATCTGTGCCGATGAAAGTATTACACTCCCTCATTCATACTTAGTAGCTACTGTTTGTTAACTTCGAGTCTATTTGTATTAATAATTCATTTGAATAAAAGATATTTTGCAGTCTTTTCAACATTGTCGTATTCAGAAGGTTAATGCATTTACTATGTGTTTGAACCAATGTCTATAGTTCTTTGTACCAAATACATACACATTAAAATTGTAACACTATGTTGACTACAGTAATTCCTATTGTTTGACATTTTTACCTGTTATGTCTTTTATACATTGTTTTATACAATCGAATTTGATGCGGTTGTGGTACAAGTGAGAGGTTTAGGTAGCTATAATACCAGGTTTAATCCACCATTTTCTACAGCATAAAATGCCTGTACCAAGTCAGGAGTATGACAGTTGTTATCCATTCGTGTCATATGTTTGAGCTTTTGATATTGCCATTTGATTAGGGACTTTCTTTATTGAATTTTTCTCGGAGTTCAGTATGTTTGTGATTTTACTCTGTATTACAGTCGCATAAAATTCCAATATTTTGAAAACGAGGTGTGAACAAAACAAACAGACATAATAGAAAAAAAAAGTCTAAAATAGAGGTACAGACGTCAACATTTTGTTATAATCTTAATAACTATAAATAGAAACAAATGTGTAACAACGAAACGCCAAAAAGCATATAGACAACTTACATTAACATGAATTAAAGACAAGAATACAAAATGTTTTACCATAGAACAATTACACAATAACGGGATGTATAAGTACAGAGCCACGTTAAATGAATATAACCACAAACAGACTAAGTAGTCAACGTAATAGCCATACAGTCATATAGAGGAATATTATAACAAGTAATTACGATGATACATAATGCCATTACTCATAATCTATACACCTAGACCATCGTGTGTTATTAGTGAAGTTGATAAAGAATTTGTTCAACATGTTTTTTGTACCATCCGATGAACTTTTTAGAAAAAGGACGAGACGTTTTTTGACATACTCCTCGTTCATCAATTATTACGCATACACTGGTGACGTTTTACAAAGTCTGAGAAGAAGCTGTAAGCTCATGAATATCGAATAAATTTGCAAATATATATCCCATATGCAAGTGAAGTTGATATATTGCTAACGAAGTTGGGAAAATTTGAAAATTAAAATTATCCCGTTTGTCATAGATTGTGGTACTGAGATGACAGCGTATGTCAAATTCGAGGTGTAAGTCTAAATATGAGGTGGATGGCGCTGTGTTTCTTAAATGTCTAGTTCTTTGGGATATATTAAAAGAATCAAATCAGAAAAGGTAATAGAAAGAAACATCATCAATATATCCATGATATTTGAAAGTCAAGTAAAATTATATGGCTTTTTATCTTCATTTTTTACAAGTGTCTGAAGGAACTCTTCCCCATACGAATGCCGACATTTTGTTGAAAAAAGATTACATGTACCTCAATAATTATTGTGTATGTCTTTCTTCACAGAAATGGAAATATTATCAATGCAAATTGTTTATTCAACAAATGTATATAATGTTGTTGGATAATGCAGTTTTATATGACAAGGGATATATAAAGGCAACAGTAGTATACCGCTGTTCGAAAGTCATAGCTCGATCGACAGAAAAGAAATCCGGGTTGAAAACTAAAACTCAGGGAAACACATCAACTATAAGAGGGCAACGACGAAACAACAGAAACAATGAAGTGCAACAGAAAACAAACGACAATGAAACAAACATAGAAACGCAAGATTACAACTGTCATCATACATAAATGTAATTGCACAATGCAAAGATTGACTGCAGAGTATTGGTATCGGAATCGGGTTGTCATTAGATGATACGTCTTTAGACCTGCTGCTTTTGTCGACTATTTGACGAGATAGTACTTTATTTGATAATCTCCTTTTCCAAAAATAATGTTGAATCTACGAATGCTTTAACAGAAAACGTTTTCAGGTAAAGGTATTTCTCATACTCTCTCTTGAAGGGATAGTTTTAATTGCCACGGCTACCTTCACGAATTGGTTGACGTTGTTTGATGTGAGATGAATATGATTTTGGTAATAGTTTTATCAAATATAAAGCCAATTCTTTCGTTTAAATCTCCTTATATTATGCTTAAATAGGGCATTGTATGTGTTAAATCGTACTTTATGATATGTGTTTGCTTATTTGTTGAGAACAGCCAAAATGAAGAAAAAGTAACTGGCCGACCTGCTCAACCCATTCGTGTTAGAATAAAAAGACCAACCAAATTGTACTCTTCATTTTTGACTGACAAACTTTTCTGAACGTATATTTAACAGGTACACTCAAGACCAATCATTTACACACCCACGATGAATAGATACGTGAGTACATATAGCAAACGGGACGTAAATATATTGACGAACCTTCAAAGGTGAACTTTGCTTCAAAACAAATATACAGCGAAACATGTTTTAAGATACCACTAACGGGAGGGCAAGAAAGTGGACTCTCATGACAGGTTGTCTTTTAATACAGGTTAATTCTATATGACATGTACTACAGAGGGATCTAAAATTAATGGTCTTTCATTTCAGGTTTTTACTTAATACAGGTGGTCTCTTAAGCAGGTTTGACTGTACTTTAGCATATTTAGTTCCTTAACAATTCTTTAATTTCTCAACGAAGACATTTTGGAATGCTTATAATAACTCATCAGGGACAAATGACTGCTTTTTAGACTATGTGTACTCTCTGGGTCGTAATGGTCTAGTCAAAGAAATTTCCAGCGAGTACAATTTAAATTTCAGACATGCGATTTGCTTGTCCTGGAACTAAAACATGTTAGGGGGAGGGTTGGGATCCCGCTAACATGTTTAACCCCGCCATATTCTGTATGTATGTGCCTGTCCCAAGTCAGGAACCTGTAATTCAGTGGTTGTCGTTTGTTTATGTGTTACATATTTTTCGTTCATTTTTTGTACACAAAGAAGCCCGTCAGTTTTCTCGTTTGAATTGTTTTACATTGTCATTTCGGGGCCTTTTATAGCTGACTATGCGGTATGGGCTTTGCTCATTGTTGAAAGCCGTACGGTGACCTATAGTTGTTAATTTCTGTGTCATTTTGGTCTCTTGTGGAGAGTTGTCTCATTAGGAATCATACCACATCTTCTCTTTTTATAAAATACTACTCTCGTCATGAAAGTTTGCATACAAAAGGCAAATACAAATCGTGAAGTAAAATTAACCAGTGACCGTAGACTTGCAATAATGTATATAGCGTTAAAATTATCAGTACCGAGGCATGGGGTTGATGATACTATAGGCTGATGATACACTAGCAGGGACACACTTTACTTATATTCGTATGATACTTTTTGCGATAACATTAGTAACATCTATCTATATTGAATGCGTAAGAACAAAATATACGGCAAAACAAGTAATCATTGTTATACAAATATCCGGTACAATATAAATACTATCACTTTTTTCATCTAATACACATTTCTTATTATCATTCGCTAAAAAGTTATTCTCATTGTTACAATGCAATTCATAAGGGAGTGCAATACATTATTTCCAATACATTGGCTAGTAAAAAAGGTATAATTAATCAGTTATTACAAGAGACAACACTAGTGTTAAGATACTGTTACACACGGTTATGTACATGAACATTATGCATAGACAATATAAAGTAAAAGTAGTCAGATACGCGCCATTTACAGGATTTAGTGTCATACATATTTCTGCTATTTTTCACTTGTTTTTCTATACGCTTTCTGATCATGATGTTTATTTTGAAAAAAAAAAAATCTATAATAGCCCTCCCAGTAGTAGTTTTTGAAAGATATAAGTATGATCTGTCTCATGTGATATTGGCGTAATGATTATTCGACTGTACATTTTTTTTATTAAATAGCGTACGAAACAATATTTGCACCAAATAATTGCAGTGATATTTTTGTAACTTCTCAAACAGGTTATTTAAATCCCAAAGGTAAACATTAAGAAATTAGAACTGCGTAGCATTTTACAATTATAGCGTTCTGTTTAAACTATCTATTTATAATCTAATTATTACACACTAATTTGACCGAATTAAATACCTGAAGGTGTAAATAGTTTAAACGACTATCCGTACATTTAAAATGATTAATGCAAAAGTACATATATTTCACAATTCCTTTTATTGATTTACTAAATGAATCTTTGGAAAACGTCCAGAAATTGACAAAAGCTGAATAAAAAGATCGAATTAATTAGTTCTTGAACGGGAAGATCGGTTTTTGATTTTTAT